TCATTTCAACTTACACCTCATGCTCAAAAAGATAACAGTACAAAACTATTTGGTTTAAAATTGCACCAATTAAAGTCAAAATGAAAATGAACTTAACATTGTGTCCAGGAAATTGTGCTGGTGATTTTACTTAAGGACTGTGGATCTTTCAAGTTTAGTTTATCATCAGCAAAATCATGTGCATAGGAACAAACAAAGAAAATATGTTCTTTTCCCTAACCCTTCTGTGCTGCACTAACAGACAGTAGAAATATAATTTAGCTGAATTACACAAAATTTTGGGGAAAAAATCTTGACAGAGAAATTGTAACTGCGCGAAAACTGTTGCAATGATTTTCAAATTTTTGGTCTATGAAGGGAAAAGGCCATTTTGGGCTTCAATAAGAGTGTAGCATATATTTCCAATACTGATGACAGTTTCTAATTCTAAATTCAGAATAGCAGTTCAACACATTTCCAGGTACCAACCACTTAAAAGGGAGTTAGGAACTAACTGCAAATTTAACTTTTTCTTGATGACTCCTCTGCAAGTGTAGAATTTAATAATTTATTCTTTTTTGCTAAAACAATGCTTCTTTCATCTTATTTAGAATTATTTAAATCATGTTTCCTGTTTAAAACCATGGGAACCTTGTACCTAGAGTTAAATTTGTGTTGGCTTAACTACACTGGTCTGCTATTGCCATCTACTGGCTTCCTTGTATGCTGCACATAAAACACACAAAAGGGATGATTTCCTAAAAAGCAGATCAAAAATATTGCCCTAACATTGAATAGCCAAAAATCTATTCAGAAAAAATGGGGAAAGTCGCTCCCTAACAAGAGCTGAAACAATTTTGGTGGTGTGGAAATCCTGCCATGAGAAACCCAACTGTGGAAAATGACGCCAGGACAGCACAGACAATAGATGTAAAAAGATAGCCGAGACACAGGTTCAGCTTTAAAACTTTAAGCAAAACGTACAGGCTAGGCTTGGCTTCTCCTCCACACCAACCAAGAAATCCCAACACTAAAAATTCCACTTGGCATGGGTAATTTTCATTTTAAAATCGGCAGAATGCAGGGCAATGACCCACATGCTGCCTGCCCATTGCCAGGGTCCCCAACCCAGGACCCTGTGAGCAGAAGGGAGCTGCACCAACTTTCTAAGCAGCTTTTATCCTTTTCTGTTCTACTTGTTTACTCTGCATCTCCAGCTGGAGTTTACTCCCATTGCCAAGAGAAAGACCTCATACAACCTTAACAGCAGATTAGCATTAGTCTTTTTCTCTGTCCTAACAATGGCAAAAGTACAAGCACCAAAGTGATGACATACAGGCTAAGATTTAACACTTCAGACAAGGACATGCATTAAACGATGCTCGGTTCATACAAGGAATTACAGCACACCTTTGGACTGCAGAAGCATTCTTAGAAAGTGATTTGCACTCTTAGTCGCTCTAGCCACTGTCACTGAAGCCTAAAGGATACAGCCACAAGGGTACTGTTTTGTGGCCAAACCTAAATAAATGGAATTTACACCCTTGAAGAGCTGAAGAATAAAACCTACCCCAAAATTTTAAAAAGGCTAGTTAATGTAAACCTGCTTTTATGTTTTTACTGCAGTACCTTTTATAAACACCATCACAGAACTAAAAAATACTGCTCCTATTGAAAAGCTGTATGAGAAACATGATCCTGCAAATATTTTGGCACATGCTTAACAGTAATGTGGCCATTCTGACTCAGACTGAAGGGCACTAGCCCAAATGGTCTCCCACAGAGACCGGTAGTCAACGTCTGTGACAAGAGTTTAAGAACAGGACAAGTAAAGTGATATTTCTCCTACATAGTCTCTCTTCAGCAAGCAGTGTTTTTTTGGGACTTGCTAATTCTCTTGCTGTTTTAAAAGCTAGCTCTCCAATTAAAAATTTGCTGGCAAAGCTACGTTGGTTCAGGGGAATTTTTTCCCAACGGACATAGTTACTCTGGCAGAACTTTTAATGATGCATTATTGCATCAACAGAAAAGTCTCTTCACTTGTATAGCTAATTTTGTTAGAGAAATCATTCTACTACATCAGCAAATGAACTGCTTTGCTAGGCATGCACATGTTCATTAGGGTAGTTTGTCCAACCTGACGAATCCTTTCAAATTTGGACAAACTTGAAGTCTGGACACATGCACGAGAAGTAGGATGTCTCTGCCTTGGATAGACAGAGACAACTTTTACTGAGATTACCACATCAATAAAGCAGACATAAGTCTGAACCAAAGGAATTGAGGCAATTTGGACATTGCTGAAGGAAGCAGTAGCCACAGAAGTTGTAAAAACACATGTAGCTTCAAACTTCCTTTCAGTCAAGCTGACCAGAGACACAGCTTTAGGAACTTAATTTTCATATCATAGTTTTAATTGGTGCATATGATAAATATTCCTTGAGATCTTTGAGGTGTGTTACTTTTTACCACCAGAGAAAACAGGCATATAATATCACATCATACCAATGTGAGGACAAACTAAGAACTAAATACCACATATTAGCGAGCTCTGTACATAAACAGGGTTATAATACTCAAAATAATGATAATATTTATCTTTCATACTATTAAGCTGCAGAAATAGAAGCACATATTAACACATTTTCACAAACACAGACACAGATGTGTTATATAATATACAGACGGCAATTCTATATATTATATACACAAGTATTCTCTCAAAAAGTATGTAAACATACAGGCAGGCACAAACCCCCAGTATTTTTTAGCAAATATAGTTAGTGTATGTCTTTAGTGCCAAACAATATGTTACAGCCTCTATACATACTTCGAAAGTTCTAAATCTAGATCAGCCTTTGTTAATACAATTTAATTTTAGCTTATTTGAGATCTCACAATTAAAGGGAGATTCCTAAACATAAAACTCTGGTGACATGCATGTCAAATGTATATTAAATAGACTACCAAATGCAGAAACAACAATTAAAGACATTGTTGTTCTGCTTTTGGCTTTCTTTTACATATTCAATTATTTTTGTAGAAAACAAAACTAATTTATTAATAAAATGGAAATTATCTAGCATTCCGAAACATTACCAAAACACTAAAGAGGTCTGTATTTCCCTATCTCTTCTAAGTATTCTAAACATTTCTACTTTATAGGCTGAGTTGCAGGATCAGTTGTGTCAGAATATGAAGTTTGCCCACAGAGATGATTGCTAAAAATAATCTGTTAAATTTCCATACACTAAAAAACAAATAAAAGTCATTAAGAATATAATTAATCATACACATTTTTTCCTGATTTTTTGCAGTGTACAGATTCACTACAGTGCCTTTTTCATTATTCGGGTGTTAAACTGCTACAAACAATTCCTTGGCAAAGCAACTGGGGCAAATAAAAAAAAGGGAAGGGCAGGGAAATTAAAAACATAAAGGAGGCAAGGGATGGATGAGGACAGAGGCATCATTTCTTGCTTTTAAGCTTTGAAGTCATTAGCATGGAGGATCATAGCAGTAATTCTCATGGACAAGCGTGCTGGCAGTCCATTCAATAGGAACACAGTTTCAGCTAGTCTATAAAGAACATACCTGCAGTTCAGATGAGCAATGGGTATGTGATGTTTTAGTTGTGGGAGAGTTGCTGCAGTATTATTGCTTAAAAATGAAAATAAATAAATGCTGACTATGTTAGCTGATGACTGAAAAAATCTAGGAAAAGCATGAGGAACAACTTGCTGCCATGTTGAGGACATTCAGGGTAAGAAAGAGTAAAGAAAAAATATGAGAGAGGCACAGTTTGAAATTTTTAGTACTTATACCAAGTAACTTTGAGAGAGTATCCCTTTTGCTGCACAAGCACTTCACACCTGTGAGCCAGATTGCATGTGCTGAGCTGAATTTATTTCATGCTCATTTAACTCAACACTGGAGGGGCTGAGCTGAGAAACATGAAAGTGGAAACAGTACAACAAAGTGTACATGTGCAGTCACACCACCTGCAATTTATGGAAGCTGGGAATGAACATTGAGTAATCTGATATGGGAATGGTTACGTTTAACATGTCACATTTTTAGTGACTCTTTGGAGTGTTCACATTACTATGAGTAATAAAGGAAAGCTCACAAACACAAGCAGATGTATCAAAAATGTGAAGGATGTGCGTGTTACTATTCAATGGCATTAGTATAAATAATCCCTTCATATGCTGAATATATCCTATGTCCATGTATATGTAATACACATGTGCATCTGTGAGGAAAAAATACAATTGTATGTGATGTATGCTCCACTGAGGATGCCATTGAAATCTCAGTAAAGCTTGGTCAAAATTTTGGCCAAGCTTTGTTTCAGACACTCTGACATGTTCAAACCTGGAATGGCTCCACTGGAATTGCAATGTGACAGAAGGCAGCAAGAAGTTCCATTAAGTCTTTACCCCATTAAATACTTCTGCTGACAGGGAAGCAGGTTGTGTGTGGCACTACAATAACATACTGCTGCCCAGCTAAATCTGAAGTGACTAGACTCATGTTAACCATGAAGGCAGCAGTGAGGCATCACAGCTCTCTTTCATGTCTTCAGAGAGGAGAGGTTTAGGCTGCCATAGAGATTTTCAATTAAATTCTGAAGAAATTTCCATTTTAAAGTGCTGCTGTCCTCCTACAATCTCTGTGTGGCCTAAATCCATATAATGAGTCTGCTGCCAAGTAAAATGTCATGATCCCAGTTCAAATTGTTGAATTTATGTTGGAGTTAGGTCCACTGATCTTCTGGTAAAATGTGGAACTGTGTTCTGTGTGTACAGTTATACCTCCTAGGGCAGTTAAATAACAATGTGACTCACAAGGAGAACCAAAGGAGAAGTTGTGCAGGATACCAGTCTAACTATGCTGATATTAATTAAATGCTACATTTATCTAAATATTAACCCTCTCTGTTTTCTTTTGGTGTCATAAACACAAAACTGGCTGGTGGGCACATAAATCTGTTTCATCTGTGTATTTCAGATGCTTACTGCTATGACAGAAACTCCAGCTGCTGTGCTGTTCGGCTTAGGGCCTGTGTTGAAATGCTTCTTTATCTTCCCAGCTACTGAGAGCTGATGTTCGTTCTCTGGAAGGCCATCATCCTGCAGACAAATAAAGCAAAATAAAACTTCAGAGAGGAAAGACAAAAAAAAAAGAGGAACTGTGAGGTGATTCTGACAGATCAATACAGAAAAGGTTACAAAATGTTTGTATTAAAATATGGGTCAATCATTGTCGCCATCAATACATTTAAGGTACTTACAAGATGAACGCATTATGGCACCAAGCAGTCTCTCTCTTCTTCTTTACCCAATACTTTCTTCTCAAACTTTAGGTAATGTTAATTAATAATAATTGTTAAAAAATTCATTTTCCTTAACATTTCTTACAATTTTCTTTCATTAATTACCACTACCCAGTTATTTTTATGCCCATTGATATTTCAAAACCTGAGGACTTCAGATGTGTTTAAGATTCTGTTTACTCATCACATACATTTAATGATAATAACCTCAAAAGTAAAAAGTCTCCAAGATATTACAAAAACAAGAGGTTGGGCTGGGTCATTCCTCCTTCCAGCTGAGTCTTCTCACTTTGGAGAGCAAACCTGGATACCTGCACCTAGGGAGACTGGCATCCTCCATACTGAGCAGAAACCCTGACAGAAAGAATGGAGTTTGTGGTTTTGCACAAGTCCGCACACTGAATTCAAGCCCAGGAAAAGAAGAGGGTTTTTTAGAAATTGTAGCAAAGATCTTTATGCCTTAAAAACGTGCAAAAAGCCACTACTAAGTGAGACCCTCACTAGCAGCAGGATTTCAGGCAACAAATACGCAGAACACATGGAATAGGAAACAAAATATACAACAGGCAAAATATACAGAGCCATGTGCCATAGTCATCCCTGACTGGTGCTGCATGGTATGTATAGGAATAAACAAATGAAATAATTCTTAAACTCTGCTTAGGCAAAATCCTAGCAGAATAAAGGAAAACAGGAAAATATCAGAATAGTGAGAGATGACAGACACTTTTTTCTTTTATTTTTCAGCCATTATGAGTGCCCTTAAAGAGTTACAGAGCTGCTGCAGTAAATCATGAGTTCAGTGAGTGTATGGGAATTTTAGGGAGGTTGGTAGGGTTTGTTATTTATTTAGCTTGGGGAGTTTGTGTTTAGAGATCCCTTACTCACCCCTTAACAAAATGTCTCAGCTGGCAAAATATGGTCAAGTGCACACAGCTGCAAAACACAAAACAAAACAATAGAACCCAGTAGCTGATCATTGTCTATCACTGGGGAGTCCTGGCTTGGTGGAATATGACCCCTAAAAATAACCTGCTTCTCGTTGACTTTGTCTTTCCCAGAAGAAAGCTAGTCTGTAAAGTGAACTCCTCATCACGAGAGGAGGGAAGAAAAATAAAATCATTCTCTTGGCTTTCTTGACATGAAAGTCTGCCAAGCGTTCATGTCATCTTGTCAAAAGACTAAATTACAGACAAGACAATAGTTACCAAGACTGTGGTCACATTTTATTGGTGAAGAACCACACCCACAGCTCCTGTGGCAACATGCCACAGACACATAGTTTGGGCTCCAGCTTTCAGATGAAATACCTTCCAGCCCAGTTTAAGATGCAGCATAGGGATATATCAGAATTCCTCTATTGTTACTAAGTTTTGATTACTACTGTTAGTGCCATCTGATGTTTAGTAGTTCTCTTTTATTCAAAAATGCTTTGTAAAGAAATCAATATATATTAAACTGGCTCCTAGAATTATTTCAGTCAACAAAAACATAGCTATTGAGGGTGAGAGATGACAGCTGTTTATCTAAATACAAAACAAATTGCTCTGCAGTTTTAAAAGGCAAGAAGTGAAAAAAATACCCCATCAAATATCAAATTGATCAGAATCATCAGGATAAGTTGTAGAACTGGAGAACAGTGTAAACACTGCTGACAAGAATTTCATTGGGTTGCTGAAATGGGAGGGATGTCAAACCCTGCAGAGGTTAACTGTTTCTTTCCCCTATTCCAAGTCTTTGCTTTTGGCAGTGGGCTAGGATCACAGAAATTCGTCTCAGCCTTAGCACTAATCACAAGATTTTTTTTTAAGGTGATCAGTTATTTTTGTTGCTCCAGCTAGGAACTTTAAAGAGTCAGGAGCTTCAGAAGATGTTGACTGCTAATAGTCTGAAAGAAGAGCTCTCCTGTGCATACCTCAGGAGCTGAGCAGTCAAAAGAGTTTGAAAATTCTGGCTCAGAATTTGAGTTTTCACATGGACAATATAAACTGCTTGGAATGTTAACACATTTTCATTTTTTGTTTTGGGGTGTTTTATTTTGGTTTTTGTTTGTTTGTTTGTTCGGGTTTTTTAATCAGCCTCTACAAAATACCTTTCATGGTCTATTTACAAAAATTCAAAATAAAAAACAATAAAAAAGAGGCAAAAGGTCTTGGAGAAAATCTAGTAATTGATAAAAATTTTTTTCATATTTGTATTGTTCCCTGTGGCCGGAGACATTGCCACTCAAAGTAAATGTTATAAAGATGTAATGAAGGATTCCCAGACTCCTACTGCCCTGGAGTGCTTAGATCCATTTCACAAGATGGTCACAAGAGCTTTACTTTCCAAGTCTAGAAATGTCAGATGAATAGATCATTATACAAGTAATTATCAGCAGGAAATTACAGTAAATAGAAGTGCTGGAAAAGCTTTTGGACACTGTTTCCTTTAAGGATTCTTAGGAAATTTTTTTTGTACAGTGTTCTAGGGTGTAACTAAAAGTAGTGCAGCTGCAAAATAAGGATTGTCTTTTAAAATTAGTTTTCTTACAAATGTTTAGCTTAATGATACTTATCGCTTGGCTATTAATTTCTTTTGCACACAAATTTACAAGGCAGACATATTGAGGGGAAAATATAAAAGCTCCAGGTTCTCTAATTCTTTTAGGCTGGTGTGTGCCATCTTTCCCTTCCAGCAACAACACACATTTCATATTGATTATTTTAACAGAGAAGGATTTACAGATTGCAATCCATCCCTTTCAGCATTCCTTCCTAATACATCCCTTTCACTGCTCAGGGGTGTATTAGGAAACATTTACTACTTATACAAAGAAGAATGAGTTTGTCCTGTAACTTGTTTCAGGTTATCAATAACATCAAAGTTTAAAATGGCAAATCTCAAGCTTCCTGCCTCTTTTATAATTCTTTAACTTTGCAAAAAAAAATTGAGCAGGTAAAGTAAAGATTTGGGGTCCCTGTAGGGGAAGTATAAACTAATGGATTTTTTTCCAGGTCTAAGTGTACTGCATAGGAGAGATGATGCCAAATAAACGAAATGGAGGGGGCAAAGAACTGCTGCTGAATTGCATTAAGAATTCAAGATCTCCATCTGTGGCAGTGGCATGTAGCCAACATCTTTTCAGGTTTTGTTTTTTGAATTGAAAACAGCTGGGATATTATTCACATCGAAACTGCTTTACTGGTCTGACTCTGACCATAACAAGCTTTGCAGTTTCCAAGAGGAATCCAGATATTTTTATAGCAAAATCTTAAAGTGAAATGAGGGTTTGCTCCTACTGAAACTGTCAAAGCATATTCCAGGAATCTCAGCAATTTACCAAGTAATCACATAATAAGCAGCTATAAAGTAGAATGGTTATTTACAATCTACAAAATGGTTTCATACAGTGTAAGCAGTTACAACACTTCTATCAAAGGTTTGATCAAAGACAGAAAATGTTTCTTAAAATTGTCAAAGAAAACACATGCCTGCTTTTCAAGCCAGCTGTTCTATCTAGTATTTTAGCTGCAGCTTTAACACTCTGAATGCGTTCAAAACTGAAATAAGGGAAGTGTTGTAGTGAGCCCTATCCCAGCTAAAAGTAATAGAGAAAGTAAACTCCAGCATTTGACACCATGGAAAAGTATTAAAGCAGTTTACCTGTGAAAATGGAGTGTAGGTGAAAATTCCATGTGCCATTTCTTCTCAGAAAGACAGTATACACAGAATTGCTCAGGTAATTACAACACATAGGTTGCAGAGCCTTTTGTAAACAGGGATGAGTGCATTAATTCTCTGTCCTGAAGCTGGGAAAATGAGGTCCAGGGAGTCTGTGTGACAGATTTGCAGCTGATCCAGCCAGTGATGGCAGAGGTATGTGTAGTTGGATCTGACACTGTACCTTCTGCCTCTATGCATCAACAGGCTGCCCCTGCTAGCTTATCTACTGATACAGCCCAGACACACTTCAGGGAAGTGCCCTTTCTCATGGAACCATTTAAGCACCTGTTTCAACTCAGCCATGTTCTTATTTCTTCCAATGTGAATTAGGATTGTAGTGCCAACTAGTTAATTTGATGCCCAGTATTAAGTGCTTCCATGTGTGATGTCTTGAAACGGGAGCAATGTTTGGAATGCGTTAAAGCACTTCCCTGAACTGGTCCCAGTGCTAGACTTTTTACTTCCAGAAAAAATATATGGAGGACATAAGAAAATTCAAAAGCAATTTTGATCCACATTATGAACTATCTCTAGTGTAATGATGCAGAAAAAATATTGATTTTTTTCAGTTATTAAAAGCAGCAGAAAAAAAGGAATTAGAGAATTGTCATGGAATATTTGTTTCACTTACATATAGACAGAACTGCTATGGGTTTTGATTGCAGAGAATTATTACCAGCATAAAACTGCAAGTGCACCAGAGCTAGACCACAGATGAATTGATCACTGCATTCTGTTTCTAACAGTGCATCACAGGCACTCTTTAAGAAGTAGTATATTTAACAGAAGCAAGTAGATCTTGAACTTTCCCTGGTATATCGTCTAGTTCATGCCAACCAAGTACTTAAGAACTTTGTGAGCCAAGAGCTCTATCCAGTCCACTATATTTAATAAGCACCAATGGGATCATCCTCCAAAAATGTATTAAATTCTCTTTTGAGTCCATTTATAGCAGTTCTGTACACCACCTTCTGGCAAAGGGTTCTGCATGTTAACTTATTGCACAGAAATTCAGGAATTTGCCAAGGTGCTTCAGTAACCAGAGCTCAGGTTTTTCTAGCAGAGCTCTGGAGTGTTAAATGTCTTTAGACCCCAGCTCCTCTCCCCTGCTATCCTCACCAGCAGGTACTATTGAGGGCAGGGTAGCAGATCCTCATGTAACTTGCACACTACTATCATCAGGTTACTGCCAAAGAGCTGCACCTCTTCTTTTTTATACATCACACTAAAATGGCTTTTTAAAACACATCATGGTGTAGCAATTTTAAAAAGTAAGTATCTGGGGGTAGTATATTAACATTTCAAATATATTTTTCATAAAAAATGGAAGATTAGTGACCACTTCCTTAAGTGATGCAAGCAAGTGACATTTCAGTAATCTCAGCAACAGTGTGCAGGCTCACACTGCGGGTGACTTGGCCTCTCTGTGGCTTCTGATCAGTCACTTCCATCTCTTCCTCTTCAGCACTACAAAAATCTCCACACGTCCTCCTCCCATGGAGACAGAGAGAACCCTCAATCACCATAAGGCATCATAAACTGTGACAGAACACTGTGTCCAAGGATAGCCCCTGGCACCAAGGAAAATAAATATTTCAGCTGCTTGAATGTCATCTTCAAAATGAAAAGATTTTCATCAGACATTGTCCTGGATCCTTGCACTCTTCAAACACCACAGAAGAGCTGTGCATGTTAATAGCATTTACAATTTAAAAAGTAGTTTGGGTAATAAAGGAGCCCTCCAAGTTTAAAGCATGCACTTGAATAATACTTAAGTGATCACTACTACTCTATATGGAGGACTCTTTCATAAAAAAAAATTAATATCTGAGGTGACTGTATATTTGAATTTTTAGAATGGTTTTTTAGTGAGAAAGGGATTTCGGACACAGCAGCTCAGGGACCAAAGAGCATTCCAGGGAGGACTGCACACTCAAACTTGCAACAAACAAAATGAAGCATTATTTCCTCTTCCTGTATTTTTTTTTTCACTGATCATCCCAATTGTGTTTCTTTTCTCAGATGTCCCTTCTGAACTGGAATATAGATTATCCTGATTTTTTATTTTTGTTATCCAAATATTTTAAAACATGTTAAATAGTCTGGAATAATTAGCAAATCTTAAATATGGTCAGAAGCTAAATATGATTCTAAATGTTTCCCTGTTCCATTCTGGATCAAGTAGGTTTAACAGTAGGTTTAACAGTATGGGCTATATTTCAGTAACTCTTAATCATGACTGTGAGATTTTTGAGCCCACCTCATCTCAGGAGAATAAAATGTGTCACTGAACCTGCAAGCTGAGAGGAAGAGATATACATTTATCAAATTGGATTGAGATTTGTTCAAAGTCCATTTCAGAGAAAATGTAGCTGAGCACACACAAAATAATGACAACTCCAAGGTACAAAATACACTAAATCAGCCTGTAACCCAGCTGATTTCCAGTTAAATCTGTGGCATCTTTAGAATGTGCTGGCTTCCAAAAGGGCATAGCAAGAGCTTGACAGAAAAGAACTCAAAGGTGTCGAATTGCAGGAAGCATATACAAGTCTGAAAATACTTACATTAACCCATGGATGCTCAAGAACTTGCAAGGCTGAGAATCGCAGATCTACATCTACTTGAAGCATCATTGTGATAAGTTCCTGAGAAATTGAATACACGGTTGAAATTAAAGAACACTTTCAAAGAACAGATCAATAGTTCGTACACTTAAGAACTCTTTAACTGATTTTGTAAGAGTGCTCAAAGAGAGAGTGAACTACTGACTGAAGAAATATACTAAGATTATTCAAAAAATAGAAAAACTATGAACTATGAACTCCCAGCTGAACTTCTAAATCAATATCTGACAGTATCTTGAAAAGCTAGAAGACAGTTCTGAGTTACGGCTCTGAAGCCACTGTTTAAGAGAAAAGCACTTAATACATATTGTGCAAAACAGATGGCCTCATGAAATTAGGTTAGCTTTCCATTAAGAAAAAGCCAATTCCTCTGTAGGAAAAAAAAAAAGCCAGCAAAGAGTTTTACTTTTAACTCTTGTTTAAATAACATAGAAGATATTAAAAAAAAAAAAAACCCTGACACTTAAAATCATTATTTTTCATCCTCTGATTTTCTCTGCAATTACCTAGATTATTTTATTCACAGAGTGGAGCGCATGAAAACAGTATGGCAATATGACAGCAAATAAAGGTGCATCGCCAAAGACCAAAGCTAATCATCCTTAATTACAAGAATAACTTAAATGGATAGGCTAAGGCTTCAAACCAGAATTTTTAGACAGACCTATTTGACAGAAGGAGTTTCACAGGAAAACCCACTGGCAAAGGACTTGCAAGGTTCCCATTAATGATGCTATGAAATAATGCAACACAATGATTTGGTTTAGAGGACTTCCAACTCTATGATTGTATCTTATTCTTTAATCTCATTAGTTAGAAGTCTCCACATACCTGTAAAAGCAGAATGTAACTCTCCAAAGAATGGAGATTCAGAGCTACTCTCATACCTGCATCCACCTCCAAATTTAACTTTTTTTTTTCCTTGTGATTAATCAAACCCTGTCACACTGAAGGAAACAGGAAGACAGTTTTTCATAGATTGCCTTACAGACCAGAGAAGTAAACTGACTGAAAGTAAGCACTTACCTATCTACAGAATGACCATGTGATTTTTTTTTTTACATTCACATATGTATTTTGTCTCTGTTCACATATATTTATACATATGACTACAGGGAATGCCAGATCCCTAAAAAAATCTTTGAGTTAAACTGTTGCTCTAATGAATTGGTGAGAGTTAAAAAACCTGATCTGCTTTGCAAGTATAATGAAGTCTGTCAAGGTTTGTATCTGTAAATAATTATATCTGCTTTAGCACCCCAAAGCCTGCAGGTCAGGAGCTGTGACCAGAACAAGTCTGTATTTCATACCACTCTGCAACAATAAGGCAATGGGAGGCCTGGTTCTTTGACAGGAAGAAAGAACAGACATAACATCTAATGGGGTCAATAAGGAAATCAGCCTCTCCATAATATTATTAGATAACATTTAAAGGCTCCAGGTTGGTACCTGGTGCCCCTCTTAAGTACATATAAAGCACAGTCCAAGAGAGCTTTCAAGCTAGGAAGTGAATTACTTTAATTTTTTCTTAATCAATAAGGGCTGCTGGTGTCTGTGTTGTGTGAGAAATCATACAGAGATAGGATGTCCATTTCAGAACGGAGTCCATTTTAAAACCACCTAGGGTCTAAAAGACAGTAACTAAATGAAACATAATTGGTGACCCAGAGGAATTTTTAGGTGTAGCAGGAGACGTATGGGACATGTCAAATACAACACTGTGAAAGGACAACATGCATTAGGCACTCCCACTGGAAATAATACTGTAGAAGAAAATAGCATCAACTGTAAAATTCACCTTTGCAGAGTCAGAAACATTGTCCCAATATGGCGATGGAAAATCCATCTGTCCCATCAAAATCTGATCAAAAAGCACTTCCTGGTCATCTCCACTTCTGTAAAGTAAAAACCAAGGAAAACCAACAACAAAACCCAAAAAGAAATTACTTTCAGATGTGGTTTCAATAGACTTCTTAAAATTGCTTTTAAATGCTCATGCCTTAGTATGCATTTGGAAGACGTTGATTGCCCCAAACATGCAGCTATGGGTATTAAAGGTGAGATCATAAAACACAGTGCATGTGGTACACTCTTGCCTTCTGCTTGTCTTTAGGATTGTCCACAACTTTGCAGTTGCTTTGAGGAGATGAAATATTTGACACATCCTTATTAACTGGCTTACATTTTAATTACCTTTTACCAACCACAAAATATGCTGCATTTTGTCTGTGAAAGAAGATGGTTATTTCACAGTGTATTTAAAACTTCAGACAAAGGCATGCAGAACATATAATGAAGGCTCTTGTTTTGCAATGCAATGAAGTTTAAACTATAATAAACAAACATGAGACAGAGATTTTACCATAAAATCACAGACATTTATGGGGCTTGTGTAGAACACTATGCAGAGCACAGAAAAAAACCATCAAACCCTATGAGCAGAGAACTTCTACCAGTGGGAATCTCTGTGCTTAATGTGAAAGGAGCACAGGGACCAATTCACATAACAAGGATGGTTGAATAGGTCAGTCCATACCCACGGAATGGAGGAAAACCACAGAGCAGGATGTAAGTAATCACACCCGCTGCCCAGATGTCCACCTTCAAGCCATATCTAGAAGTGTGAGAGACATGGTTAGAGACATCAGATTCTTACAGACTACAGAGGAAATATGTTCAGAATAATTAATAATTTCTCATAAATTCTCATCTGAACTTTGTTTACCTACCAATCCTCATTCTGTTATCAATTATTTTTTGCATTTACATCTTTAAATCAGAATGAAAATTACATTAGATTAGAATGTGAGTGCACAGAAGACATTGGGCTGTATTCTTCAGTTAGTTAACTAATTCAAGTTGAGTTTACTTGAGTTAGTGATGTCTGTCAACATGAAGTCTGCAAAGGTGACACAGACTGTTCAAGCCAGCAGGCATTTACTCTGTAGAACAAATCAGAGGAGGATAGTGTGAAATAACAAAATAGAATTAAGTGAATGTTAGTTAGCAGTCTCTAGAGAATAGAATTACTTCCACTGTATCTGCAAAGGGCTAGTTAATAACTCAGTGTTAAGTTGAAAAGTTTGAGGCCAACAGCTGGCAGAGGTTGGCCAATATAACTCAAAATCCAGCCTGCTCTGAACTGGTTTGGGTAAGAACGCCTCCAGAGGTCCCTTCCACATGAATTGTTCTATGAGCCATGATTCTGCATCATAGCCAACCAATAGCAGCATAAAAATCTTAATTGCAAGAACTCCAGTCTGGCACAATGATAAGAATGTGCTCTTGTGAGTACACATCAATGGATCACCACTACAAGGGATTTACCCAGTTTCAGCAATGATTTCTGGAGCTACATATGTTGGGGTCCCACAGACGGTATATAGAGGTCCATCCACAATTGTTGCTAGGCCAAAGTCTCCCAACTTCAGGGACTTGCTTCCATCTTGGTGTTCATAAACCTAAATCAGGAGGAAAATTGAAAACCATCAATATAACTACTAACTGCCTGAAATGTTCCTTCTTATTTACAGATTTTTTTTCCTCCTCCTTACCTTTAACATATTTCTCTGCATGCTTTGAAAATTCACAGACGATTTGGACAACTTCCCTCGAATACAGTCAGGATGTTTGGGAAAGACTTATCTTGCTATCTGTCCAACAAAAGATGTACCACTTGCTAGGTGCTAAAGCCTAGAAGCAAATGTGTGACCTTCCAGCAGTGGCTTTCCTACATCAGCTCCCTACTGAATTCACAGTGTAGGCGGGTTGAGTTTATTCATTTTACTTGCAGAGATATTAAAGGTTTGCACAGGAACTTCAGCTACTTAGGTAATAGAAAAGTGACTGTACTGATAGCAGTTCCAGGCTCTTCTCTGTGTGCTGAAGCCACAAGACACAAATCTGGCTGCAGTATTTCACCTAGAAATACTCTCCTCTCCTTGGATGACTCTTACACACCAATGAGTTTCTTACTGGCACGGTAATGTCAGGATGAACAGGACACAAGCAGTTAGGGCTGCTAACAGGGATATGTGAAAATCCTGTCTTAAAACCTGGTCTTCACAGTGGCAGCGTGATCTTTCACAGGGTTTTATGGGTGCAAAAGGAGATTAAGATGTAGTCACATGAAAAAAAAAAAAAGCTAGAAGCATCAGTAAAACAACTATAATTTTAAAAGCTGGCTCAGAGCAAAAGAAGAGCCCCAAATCTGCAAACACTGAAAACTGATGTCCTAAGGTGACTTTATGATGCTCTATTGTATCCCCCACCATCTGCTTATGCCAGATAAGAAGTTCTGTGCCTTTAAAATTAGATCCAGTAAAAAAATGTTTAAAATAAAAAATATAAAATTGTATCTGAACTAAACACTAGACTGTAAGCCTATCTTTAATCAATGTGCTGGTTTGAGTCCTTTATTTCTATGACAGCACCTTAAAAAATAGAAACAGTCTACAGGAGACATTTATATAATATATCACTTCATTATTTTGCAAGCCAAACCAAAGCTCCATGCAGTCTGGATCACCACTAGTGATATCGTGTAAACAATTTGCACCAAAACTGTGCAAAAATAGTAGGTATCATACTTCCTAATCAAAACCAAAACAATCCTTCATATATATATCTTGACCAGCTACTCCTACATCCAAAATCACATTTATCTACAACTGTTTTAAGAAGAAAATCCTAGCTTTTCTTCTTATAAAAATACAATAAATTCTACATGGGACCCTTGAATAGTTTACTTGGTGCAAAAGTAAATTCTTGAAGTCTCTCACCACAGTTTCCTACAGATTTGTTATAGCTCATACTAATTAGTTGTATTATACAGCCCCCATCCCCCAGTTTCTTATTTGTTAATGGTAGTCATGTCTGGAGAGAAAACCCCTCTCTGTCCTGAATCCCTGCTTACCGGGTGATACAGCCACAAGCAGACATTCAGAATACACAAAATTCTTCTCCTCTCCTTATGTTATTTTTAAGAATTCAACTGGATCTTTAAGAGGACCAGCAATTTATAATGGATTCACATTTCTCTTCTACTAAGCCAGAAAAAAGTTATGTTTATAGAAAAGCACTGGGAAAAAAAAAAGGCAATTATGGTTTTATTCAAAACACAGATTGTTAAATACATCTGGTTCCTGAAACTAAAGAAAGTGCTCTCTGAAATGGCAGCAATAAATCTAATTTCAACAACAATTTTAATTAAAGTCTAGAGACTAGGGCTTTAAATATTCACTTGCTGAAATATGTAAAGTGTGCACTTAGACATGAAGAGCTGAATCTGGCCTAATTACTATTTCATATTCTGTTTCATGCAGTTATCTTTCTACACAGCCCTCTCTGAACTGTGCTAACCCAGCAAACATTTGTAAATTCCTTCCTTCAATAGACCACACCTTGTGGGACTCATCCATACTAGAAATTAATTACAGAAGAGGTTTGTTTGGCAATATTTACCAATGCAGAAGGTTTGGTACAGTGCATTTTCTATTATTTTGCTTCATCTGTTTTGAGGAATTACTTTTCTTGGAAAATTACTTCAGTTGACTTGTAAAAATGAAGAAAGTAACTTTTCCTCACCCTGTTATAACTTCATATAAAAAAGAGCCCAATGTGAAGCTGTGGTATCTTACTTGCCAGGCAAGGAATAGGAAAGATAATTTAACACTCATTCAGAATAAATGCTATATATGTTCCTGCATTTAAATACTGAAGGGCAATTAAAGAAATGGGGATTAGTGCAAATTGCCCGCTTCGTAGAGCTTTCACTGTTTTAACTAAGCTATAAAACTGTGTAATTGTACTACACTAATTGAATGCAGCCACACATAATTGTATGCCACCATATGTATCCTATTAGTATAAAGACTGTCAGTATTTTCTAAGCTGCTCTTGTGATCAGTGCAGATGGCAACAGTCAGAGAAGTTGTTCTCTAGGGTTTATTATATGGCTATAAAGACATCCCATGACTTGACAAAATAAACGTTCTAAATAGCAACAATTATGAAAAATGTTCCAATTAAAACATGGAAGACTCCCTAGAGAATAAAAAAAAACAAACAAAAATGCTAAAACATCACAGGTATTCAGCACACCCTAAACTCTTGGACAGTTGACTGTTAGCTGGACTTTATATGCCTTGAGGATAATATTTAAGCAGTTAAAATATTTAAGCAGTTAAAAAATAATGGGTGCTGCACACAGGACAGGTTCGCACACACAAACATTTATTAGCAGGACCTAGAGCTGGTCTCACACATCAGCTCTAAGCCTGAAAGTTACTTTTGGGAAGAAGGAAAAATTAAAAGAGACAAAGGAGGAGGTGAAAGTAAAGGTTCTACTAGGGGCCGGGAAGAGATGAAATAAAGCAGCTCCAGGTGAACATCCTCTTCTGGTCTCCTTCTCCAGAGCAGCATGTTCTTCACTTCCCCTTGGTCTCCTTTAGCAACTCTACAGCCTTGCTCATCCTCCCTGTTGTCTTTTTCTCCTGCTAATGAGGTTGTTTAGCCTCAGGACATGCTCCTCTAAACCTAAAGTTACAATCCATGAGTAGGAAAAGGGTGGGGGAGAAAGGGTTGATTCTCAAACTAGTGGCCAGGAGAACCAGCAATAACACAACTAGGGTTTGCATGTGCAGCACTGTGACAGTATCAGAGGGAAAGCCACAGCACAAGAACAACAAGGGAAAAATACCTCCATGACCACTTAGGTGAAGGGTTAAAGAGCTGCAAGGAAAAGGGCAGGCTACAAAAGTAGGTATTTAGCAAAATAAATGCTGAGGCCCATGTGGCATTTTTCAAGTGTTTTGTAAATGCCATGAAAATAACGCTAGTTGCAATTTTGTGACAAAAGAAACCACACATGCCATTTGACAGCTGAGATAAAAGCAGAAAGGTTCAGACACACTGAGGCCACAGGCAGCCAATGTCAGAACCAGGATCAGAGCTCAGGTAAGGCTGGTTCCAAAGCCCTCTTCTACAGCAGCGCTTGTTTCTTTCAAGGACCTCATAAAACTTAGAGAATCAATGCAATTTGTGAATCAAATGCTGGCTCTCGAGGATTAGGATGCTGCAAGAGGTTAAATGATGCATCCTTACAGCTCAGTCTCAAAATCAATGCACAGTTCTGGAAAAGTCACTCAGAAATAATTCAGCTACAATGTGAACAATGTGATCATTAGCGGATAATTACTAGAAAAGCTGAGCAGGTAAATCTAATCCCTGCCCTGCTGCCCTCACCTCCTACCCATACCTCTTTTCCCCCAGAATTTTAACTCTGACAACAACAGAGTTCAGGCATTTACAGACAAGTCAAGACAGCAGCAGAGCAGGGCTTGTACCAGACCAAGACCCTCCTGCACACTCCAGGAACAGCATTAATGAATCCTGGCATGGGATTGCTACAACATCTGCATGCAGCCACCTATCAACATCAACACCAGAAAATAAAATGGAGCAAAAGGGCCAAGAAAGGTGTATCAGTCATTAATGTCTAGTGAAACTTCCACCCAGTGTGTTTTCAGCAGTATCTCGAGAGTGAGGGCAGGTCACTTCCTCACCCAGAACCTACCAATAAAGGAACTTCAGCTGTAAAAATCCCACTGCCTGGAAGTTTAGCAATATCTGCTGGAGTCAGTTTCCCCATAAAAACTCTTCATTGTCAAGCAGGATTAAATGCATTAAGTCATGGCTGAGAGTACACAGCTGAGAGAACTGATACACTATGATTCTACAAACACTGTTTTGCAGTTGCAGAATATATGGAGAATTGGGACATCCTGATATTGGAACATGTCAGCAAATTTGTGAAAACTCAGAACACTGAAATAATCAGGAGAAGCTAATTTCTCAGGAGAAATAAAACTATGAAGGGAATGCAATTCAAGTGTGCAAAATTCTCAGAAGACTAATTGCCAGGATATGTTTTTCATTGTCTTAGGTGGATAAGGCTCATATAGATTTAGTCAGAAAAACAAAGATTTAGATTGTCTGTTTGTGAAAGTGGCTTAATAAAAAGTGCTGTAGAATAATTTGGAGATGTAGTAAGGGAAGGACAATGAAGTATCTTCCTGGTTCTGCTCTGATGTGTGACATGATTAGGACACAGAATTTACATGCACCACCCTTGTAAAACTAAAAGGTTGCTAATTATTTAGGCAGTGACAGAAGTACAGAATAGTCTGCTGAGGACAGAACACATATTTATAGAAGCTTGAAATCTTCCTGCAGTTTACTACAAGTTGACTTCTAGTGATCCCAGGAATTACTCAGCGGTTGTGTGCCATGGAACAATCTAGACATACCAACTAATGTTACTGTACTTCCTGGGACAGCTGTTATTCTTAGGAGAGCTTTACAATGCAAAGGTTAAAATTAAAAGATCAGTGATTTAAAATACTGAAATAAACTTGGCAGGCATGTGGAAGGAGGAAGCGCAGACATTTTCTCACACACTCCAGAGTTATCAGCCATACTGAAAGATGAATCTCCACTTACCAGTAGATTCTCCGGCTTGATATCCCTGTGGACAATGTTCAGGCTGTGAAGGTATTTGATGGCACTGGCCAGATTGTAGAGCATCCCACTGGCATCCCGCTCTGTGTATTTGTTGGTGGAAGTAATAGCATCAAAAAGATCTCCTCCCTGGAGCAAAATTACCATAGGATATGAGCAACATTGCTTGTGAAATGACTGAAAAATTTAGGAAGATCAAGGAACATTTTTAGAGGAGGAGGAGGAGGAGGGGAAGGGAGCAGCACAGTTTCCTTGCAGCTATAAACTATGGGTACTGTGATAACAACTCCCATAATGGCAGGTAAACAGACCAATAACTCAAAACCATTGGTCATGGCTAAGGTGGTCAGCCGAGAAGCTGGAGTTTCTCCTGCAAACCATTCCCACCTGCTGCTGCTTCTGTAACATGTCCAGCACTTGCCAACCTGAAAGTTCAGAGCCTGCTACAAACGTCTGGCAAGAGTACATGTACATACTTGTCTATCACAATGGCATCTACCAACCCTTGGCACTCTTTATAATAATCACAAACAGATTGACAACAAAATTTGCCCAATGCCTAACTGAACCCCAGAAAGATGAAGGAACTCTGAGTAAAACTCAGAACTCAAAGTTACCCATTCTCCCCGCTATCGTATTTTAAAAGTCTGTTTCCATCTCATAAAGCTTTGCAAACATGGATTTTAGAAGCCAGTTTCTCTACACAAGACGTGATTTTTTTGGTAGTGTGATGCCTCTTGCAGTTAATACTGAAGAACTTTATAGCATGTATGTCAGGCAATCACACTGGTAGACACAGGTGGCTGCTTGTGCCATTCTCAGCTCATCATGCTAATTCAGCTAAAAGCTGCTGCCAGTGAAAGAAAAGCAAGAAAACAAGAGAGAATGAAGGAAAGATAAAAACATGGAAAACTAAGTGGAAGTCCTCAAAGTTGAAATGATCTTCACCAGTGTCTGAGGCAGCCATGACTATATTTCCAGAGGTGAGCTGGCAAGTGGGGAGAGGGAATGTGGAAGTGCTTGGACAAAGATGGAAGAGTAATTTTAAAGATGAGATTAAAAAGGGAGCTTGACAGATTGGAGGAAAAAACAGTGATCTTTTGGGAGATTCTACTCAGAGGTATTGAGCCTTTGGCCAAAGTCAAAGGAGCATCACAAAGAAAACAAAATCTAACAAGAACAAAAAAAAAAAAAAAAGAAAAAAAGAGATAACTCTGCAAAAGCAATGCAAAAATTCCCTGCTACTGTCAAAACATCAAGAAAAAAATCATAGAGAACTGTATTTAAAAGAAAAACTGGGTATTTTCTGAAGGCAACAGAGCTTTGCCAGCTCTCATAGTTTTATCAACAGCTTCAAGATATTTTCTGTTCTTTTTTAAGGCTCAACTCCAGTGTAAACACTTTTTCCACTTTCCAGAGAAAGGAGGAGGGAGGGGAAAGAAAAAAAAATTTTCCAGGAATCATGGTTACAGAAAAAAGAGTAGGAAAAGGGAACCACCAAAGGCTCAAACCTGGTAAAATATACTTTCCTTGCTATAAAAAACAAACAATCTATTAACATTTTTGCATTGTTGAGGTGCAGTTGAAGTATGCCAGGGCAGGTTTATTCCCATTGTAGATACAAAATCCCAGCTCTTTGGAATTTGCTTACAGCCAAAAATTGTCAAATCTGGACCACATCAAATTTCTTGCCCTGGCTAGTGACTGTTCAAGACACATCAAGACACATAGCATCAAGGAAAAGGAAGAACAAAAGGCCAAGCTAAACCAGATAGAGGATTAGAGAGAAAGAGGCCAAATATTTGGCAAAAGTACAATACCATGTACTTCATGGCATTATCTGATCCCTAAGTATTAGATATCAGCATGTGGCAAAGTATGTGAGATAAATAATCTATCTTCCCTAAGCTCCTTCCTGTGAAACCCCTGTACCAGCTGCTTTTTAACATGAGGCAGTGGATTAGACAGATCTTTGGTCTTATCTAATATGTTCCAGATGCTCAGAAGAAGTGTCAATAACATCGGCAAAGCATCTGCCTCCAAACAAAGAAAACAGTCTGAGCTATGAGGAGCAAGAATGAAAGAAGCTGAGCCTTAAAAAGAAGAAGGAAAACTTTTGGCTTGAAGTCAGAAGAAAAGGAACAAATGTTGATGCACAAGAGAAACTTAAATTCAGAAAAATATAGAGGCTGAAGAGCAATTTAACAGTAAAGCCAATCTGAAACAGAATAATTTTCTCCATTTAAGCATCTACTGTAGTCGGTAAAGTTTCTTACCAGGTATCCTGCTAAGAAAAGAGAGCATATATTTAGTCTGTGGGATTCTCTGCAGTTAAAGGCGAGGTGATATCCTGGAAAGAGTTAACAGCTCTTAGAAAGAGCTGACAGCTATATCAGGCAGAATTGCTTTCAGACTTTCCTCTCCCCAAAGAGCACTTTAACCTGCAAGGTTCTGCTAAGCCGATTCACACAGCAGGTCACTATCATTTATTCAGGCACCAGGGGTGAGTTCAGGATGACATTTCAGTCTTAAATCCCCTGTTCTGGAGCAAAACAGGACCAGCAACATCTGAATGCAGTTTTTATCATCTGTGCACATGAGGAAGTGTACTTGGAACTACAGTAACCAATTATTTATTTATTACCTTGTTATGTAAATGATATGATCTCTCTTTTTCTTCTGCAAAAGTGAAATCATATCCTGGAGCAGTAAAGGAACTAAGCAATAAATCTTGCTTCTTAAATTGGCCAAACCCCTGTTAGGTTTGAATAACAATTTTGTTTCGCTGTGTAAAAAGGCAATGTGCCAGAAACCAGGTCTTTGCTTCCTTTTACAAGCACCACTTGCAATGTGTTTATATTTGTATTTATGAAGTGCTTTTTCTTACACATTACAAAGCAATGAGTTGCCTATCTGCCATGAGGTGAGGGCGGGATTTGCAGCAGTCACTTATGTCAAACATGTTACTGCCAATTAATGCAGGGTGGTATTAACTGAAACCGGGCTCTGCACTATCAAGCCTTTCCTCCTTGCCTCTCTTTCCTGTCTGTGAGTTTGATTTAATGTCAGGTCTTCAAAAGTCAGTCAATAACAGATGGTTAATCAATTCTAACAGTGCGCACTGTGAAATGATAACAGTCAGCAACTGGTGAATTAACAATTAATGTCTCTCCAGAAATGCCTTCCCTAATATCCAGAGAGTGCAACGAGGCTTTTCTTCCAACTAGATATTAAGGAATAGATGTTCATATCAGAGAAACAAAGTTGACTTCCCTGAATAAGGTTATTTCTTCTACATTTCTTCTATTATTCTACATAAAAGTAAAGACTATTAGAACAGTGCTCTCTAGGATATGAGAAGTACAGAGATTCCTATAGTGCCCTTCCATAATTCAGCTAAAAGAATATGTACAGCAATCTTTAAGAGTAAAGAAGAAGGAGCACAAAAAACCAGATTTCTCCAGAAAGTGAACAAAATGCATTTTTTTTTAATATACATCTTTAAGGCTTATTTTCTAAATTATTTTCAAAGAGTTTTCTGTCCCCTCCTCTCTCATTTAGCTGAGTAGGACTTCAATTAAAAATCCATTGGACACTAGAGTTTACACATTTTTCAGTCATGAATAGCACAGCAGGTTTCACCCATAAAACCAGCTCTGTGCTTACATCTTGGCAGGTTAGACAAGGCACAGCTTTTAGTTCTTAGCACACCTCATGGGGCCAAGATGAAGGATTTGTCAATGCAGGCTAAAAGCTGTGGCTACATGTGATTACAGTGCTGTGGTAAGGGGACTGAGGTACCTTTGAACAAGCTCTTGCAGACACTGAGGAAAACCGACAGTAGCATGGATCTCATAGTGAGCTCACTTGGAATAGAATAGAATAAATTAGAGCAGTAATTATGATGAAAATAGTGCTAGATGGCTAATGGTATCTGATCTCAAGCTGGGCTATTTCACATTGCATGCCTAACAGTAAGAGAGGGCTGAGATTGTCAAGGGAGTGGGGAAATTATTCTGGGACTGGTAACACAAAGGGATTGATGGCATGGAAGATTGCCAGTATTTTTTTTCATCTTGGGATTTAACTTTTTCATCAGAGAAAATATGTCAGCTCCTTAGTACCAGCATCTCCTAATGTGCTTTCTCAGAGCTTGGAGGTGGTGGACAGTGGGGTTAGGGGAACCATAAGCTCCACAGCACTACTCAATCCAAAAGGGCATCTGTCAGGCACAGACCTACGAGGACAAGACTTTCTCAGACTGCCATGAGGACAGGGAAAATCTGTGGGCATCCACCCATGAGGCACACAGAGCCTTCCAGCTTTGGACTGGGAACACGGCTTGTGTCACTGGTTCTGCCACAGAGCATGGGGGATAATGGAACAAGCCAAAAAACCTTGTCATTCTACTTGCTCTTGTATTCCAGTCCAGAGACTGAAAGCGTATTTAAGAAACACCTGGACCTGGGATTGCCCTATTTAATATCTCAGTGAGGTGTAGTAGGGACATTAGGGACATTAGGAGCTCCACCTACACCAGAGCAAAGCAGAACAACAATCCTGTTTGCCAAAAAAACGCTTTCCCTAAGTCACTGTGAAGAAATAGCATCCAAAATATAAACCACTGCATTCACAAAATTACTTTTTAGACTAGAACCATGTTTTTAACAGCAGGCTTTTCTTTTTCACTTTCCCCTTCCTCCTGCTTAAATTTAGATTGCTATTGGGGAGGCAAGTTTGACACTGTGTTAATATAAATCAATAGAGAAAAAACATATTTAAAATTGTTTAGATTTAATGTAAATTAATAAAAAACTAATGAAACCCTTTCACCTTTTTTTATTTTGAAGGCTGGTATTTATGGCTATTTGGACTGGGTATATTTTCAATTCACCTCAAGGCAGATTATAAATTTTTAACGAGTTTTCTCTTGAGGAAGCAAACAAAATTGGTGGTCAACAGTCAACAGAGCATTTCCAAGTGTGGCTTATGGGAAGTTAGACAAATACTTGAAATATTTGAAAGCTGATTAAAAAAAATCTGACAGTGGGTTATACATCTTTCAGTAGGATGCTAGACCACTTTCAGAGATCTCTTCCACTCAACATTATTCTGTGATCCCATGTTTTTTAGTAAGGCTAAATAGGAATGGAATTTTTCAATATGGTTGATTCAATAAGCAGCTTGACTCCAAAACACTCACCTTTACAAGTTCCATGACAAGGTACAACTCAGTTGGCATGTCCATCTCCTCGATCAGAAGTACAATATTGGGATGCTTGACTCGTCTTAAAATAGATACCTCATTCTGGATCATGTGTTCCTGACACACAAAAAATCTTCAATGAATATGGGTTAGTGGGAAAAAAATTCACAGTGGAAAAAGCAGAGAGAATTGGGAGCTGCACAGATTCTCTGGGGTTTTTGAAAAACTAACAGGTTGCCTCCAGCAACAGAGAAGGAACACGTTTAGAAACATCAGTGTGGTAACTGAAAGAAGTGAGAGCGGAACGCATTAAAAGAAATGGAAGAAAAGATGTGCTTCTGGTGCAGAGAAGAATGAAAGCTTTTTAAATTTTCTCTGATGCAGAATCTTTAGATTTAGCAACATGATTGCCTCTTCTCACAGAACCTTTTGTTACTGATTTTAAAAGCTAACAGTAACTTGGTGCAAAATTGACATCAATTTAGTTAACCTATGCCTTACAGACAGTGACCAATTTTGTTATAATTATTTGTATTATTTTCTGCTTTCTATAACACCTGAAATTATGAAAATTAGAGGACATAATTACATGGATAAAAGAAAACACTGGATATTCATCACACAGGTCTAGAACAGCACATGACTGCCTTTTCTCCTGAAACTCCAAGAGTCTCCAGAGGGTAGGCAAAGACTTCAACCAAAGAGATTCTAACACTTGTCAGGAAGGACACAAATGCCAACAGGTTCTCAAAATGACCTCTCACAAAAAATTTCTTGGCATAAAAATCTTTTGGTCTCATATTTTTTTTGTACTTACTTTTCCTCTACATTTACTTTTCTTGATTATTTTCAGAGCATATTCTCTACCAGTTGATCTGAGGAAAGAGAAAAAAATTCACATTGAATTCACATTCACAATCACATTGAATATTTTTCTCAGTTGAGTTTATATGTGTTATATGAGTATAATAAGTGTAATGAAGAGTTCTAGTAGAATATTCTTTTTTTTTTTAAAGAAACAAAGTTAGATTAGACTAGTGTTGTGAAATTGAGCCAAAGTTATTAAATATGCATGCCTGAGAACAAGACATAACTTTTTTGCTTTAAGATGAGAGCATTTCAGTGTTTTCAAAATAAAAAAAAATGCTTGACTTTTTCTTCCATTTTTTAATGAAAATTGTTATTACTTTGTCATTTTTACGTAAAAATACCATGCGGTGTTCACAGGTTCAAATATTTGCAAAACAAAGAAGTTATAAACAAAGAATAAATGAAGAATATTTGTTTTCTATCCTACAAAAAATGCAGTCCACGGAAAATACCTATTACTTTTTACTTAAAATGAAAAGTCATTTCTTTGCATATCTGCAGTCACAACTGCTATGATAAAAAGGTCAGTCCTTGGAATAATTTTAATGTATTCAGTAATTATAGGATATTTAGCAGAGTTAAATATGTTGGCTTTTAGGAAGAATGTGGAAGATTCTGGAGGCAGTAAAAGAAATTAGTTCAGGATGAAAACACATTTCCTTTTAACTACTGTGTTGTTTTGAATCGCTATAGTATTTATCACTACTACATGTATGTAGTTATCTATTATCTAGAATACTAACATAGACAAATTGGCTTGTAGACAAGTTAACAGTATCAACTTCCACTTCTTAATTAAGTTACAAAACCAAAAGATGGCTGTAAGAATGAAAACACGAAGCTCTGCCTACCAGCCCAGTTTCCCTATAAGATGAAATGGAAAAGGGATAATTTAAGAAAAAGATCTAACTGAAATATTTTCATTTTGTAATATGAATCTAAACAGATTACAAATGTCTATTACATTGCCTTTAGGCATGTTTGGTTAAAAATTAAGAAAAAAAATAACCTTTCAATACAGGGTCATTTTTATCATTCCTCATTTCACAAAAGACAGTAGTTAAACTGATACATTAAACTGATACAGAGTATGTTCAACAGAGACATTAATGTGTCTAAAAGTGTGCTCAGTCTGTCAAATGGGACATGCAAAGTGAGTAATACACTGAAAGCACTGTATCTGGAAAACAACTGGGCATTTTCATTTCCATATTAAAACACGGAGGACTCATCTGGCAATGATGTACCACTAATTTTCAATTTAAGGAAAAATGGATAATTCAGTAAAAAGCAAAAATACCACCAAAATATTCATTCTGTTTATGTCCCCTGGCAAAGAGTTAAAACTGCCTCTATTAGGACATTAATTAAAAGAAGTCACACAAGATAAGAAAGTTTATGAGTTGGGGGAAAAATTACAGCATATCTGTTCAAGATTTACACAAATAAAAACTTCTCCTATCTGTTCTCTCTCACACAGGAGTTTAGTGCTAGAGCCCCCCAAAATGGGCTGCACTCCATGTGGGGTGCCCCTCTCCAGTGGTGCCCTTCAGTGGCTACAGTCCAAGCTCAGTGAGGGACAGGAAGAGATTTGGACACTATTTTTGGGACTAGAAGGAGGAGGTTGAACAAGAAATATTAGAAATTAAGATATCTGGGGTTCAAACTCAGACAAAATATAGCCTCTTTCAATAGCAGTCTCTTTCAAGCTGCTTGGTTGCCCTAGGAATGCTTCCTTTCTGTCATGAGAAAGGAAATTGATGTTTTTTGTTGGCCATGGGAGACTCCATGTACTCCAAGACACTGGGAAATCTGAGCTAGTGAGGAAATGTCAGCATTTGAAAGTATCTGAAAGTTAAAAATGAACACATATAAAAACACCGCAGGACAAATTGTGCATACGATGGAGCAGATATGTAACAAGCAGATGACAACTCTGACTGCTCTTTGTTTTGGTAAAAAGAAAATTAAAGCTAAGATAATGTAAATCCTTTCCCCTGAAAAGCTGCAGAACCGCGGCCTGTCAGCAGCACAGCAACTTACACACCACCAAAAAATATGCATGGCCATGTCTGAAAGTCACCGTGGAACGGGCATCTCACCTCTCACCTAACACAATAAAAAGAGACCACAAAAAGAAGGCAACATGTTGTGGCTGGACAGGAGTCTGGACGCACTGCACTACCACAGAGTTAGACTTCTAGCTCGTGACAGGGCTTGGTGCCATGCTCCCTGGCTCTTTAAACTGTTGCAAACTTCACGGAGATTTAGACTGCACTGGAGACAAAAATCTATCTTTGCTGCATTTTTGCATGCATTAAATGTATTTAAGAGTGTGTCCCTGCACATTCACAGATGCTCAGAATGGGATTTAGAAGTTCACATGTGAAAATTTTGGAGATGGTTTTTGGTTTCTATTTAGACTGTTCATTGTCAGAAGAAAACTCCTGTGATTGTATTGAAGTGCTCACAGACTGATCTCACAGCAATGGAGAAGGAGTATTCATGTGACCAGTGAATTTGTGTAGCAAGACCCATTCCTACTTGTTCAACACCTTATGGTGCTATTCCTTTTAAGTGTAATGCACACAGGAATTATACTTCACAAGGAAATGGAAAAGTTCTCTGTCCCAAGCATCACCCCATTAATTCTGGCTTTGCAAATGATGGACACATCAGACTTTGAAGTGAGGTGGTTAAAGATGCCTAAAAAAAGGCTGAAAAGAATATTTTTGAAGGCGTTTCACAGGTACTGGTATAATTTGCCCTCCGAGTCTTTAATTTCTCCTTCCACACCTGCGATGGCAAGGATATACTGCTTTAGAAGTATACTAACAAACAATTCCACTTTCAATTTTCAAGATCTCTCAACGTAGTAGCTCTCTGATAGAAACGGGATCTATGGAATGGTATAGCTCAGAGACCACAAGACTATATATCTGGGAATACCTGGGTAAAAATGCTATTTGAGTACATTAGACACACCATGTTACTGGATACTTCTGGGACCAGTGGGAGAGACAAGAGGACAGGAAACAGTTTTCATTCAAGCTCTCCAGGATATTGTAATCAGCATTATTTTTAGGTGTGATGGGACCTGTATTTAATTTTGTTCATGCATTTTCTCTCCGTTTGGGAAATAATTGTGACATGCACACTAGCTCATTTGTACTGTCTCTGAGCAGCCCAAATTGCATTTTCAGCTGAATGAGTTTATTAAAACCACAACTTCTCATTATTTTACCTTCTAATCTGCTTTTCCCAGTCACTATTCATTTTACCTTAAGCTGCCTTTTTCTCTTTTCTTAGAAAGAGAGTTTGGGTGAAAATGGGTGTTTTCACCCATTTCTTTCATTAGTCATGTCCCTCCATAGGGTATTTCAGTGCTTCCTTTCTTTCATATTGTTTTGCTTTCCTTCTTTTAGGTTTCCATACAGTTTAGTGCTCCTGAAGTTTGATCTGAACAGCTACTGCCCTCTGGATGACCAGCTCCACCAAGAACTCACTCTGGCAAAACACTAAAGGCCTCACCAGAACTTTGGCCAAGTTCCACAAGCACACTGTCAGCTGATACAAAATCTACTCTCACCCTTTTCCCCAACAGCTGTCTTCATGATCTCCAAGTTGCACTTTTGGATGCAGAGGTAGACCCGTATTTTTCCAAGGGGACTGGTTTAAAACCAGCCAAGCTAATTTATCATTGTCTGTCAGGAGATTTAATCTCACTCTCCAGGGTTTATATCATATTCTTACAGGCTAAAGAGCTGTTTTTTCTTTGAGCCCAAAGGTGAAGTTATAGTCCTCTGTAAGAGTCTCCTCTCCAGGATAAGGTAATAGGGGATAGAAAACTTAACTGATGAAATTTCATTCTCAAACCTTGACATCTCTACTGCTCTCTCTTTTGGACACCTCCAGCTCTGGCAGTTTTTTGTTTGTCTGCACTGCTACTAACATGAGTAATCCTACAGTTGTTTCACATATAGGTGAAATGCCTTCTGTCTTTTATGTCCCACAGTCTCTTATTTTTAAAAATACCACTAAAAAGCAACCACAGTTCTGCTTAGAGCATTCCTCCTTGGTTCCATATTTTTTACACTCTTAAGGTTGGGCAGAGCAGGTTCATGCCTAAACGGATTTAGAAACAGACACATGAACATGTCAACCTGGACATTTTCAGCAACACTGACAACTGAGGTGACTTGTGACTTCTCCAATCTGGAGTAGATGTCTAAAATTAAAGACTGTTTTCACCTCTTAGCAGTAAAGGTCACTGAAGAAGTTAGATTTTGGTGTCTGCAGGGAGGCTCATAAAGTTGGAACGAGCAAATATAACGGCACAAAGCAGCAAGCAGGAGTTAGATGTCCATTAAATAAAAAATAAACAAGAAAGAGACTGCACCTCAGTGTCAGATGGCAGAGTAGATCAATCCAAAATTACCTCTTTGTGCTGACCATTGCCACTACACCCCAAACAGAGAACTTCCTGACATCTTTACAGAATGCTGCTGTATGTGAAATGTTCCACTGGTCTAATGTAAAAGGAGCATTGCAAGAACATATTGCAAGAAAAGATGTTATTTCAGTGCAACAAGAGAGATTTAACACAAGGAACTGGTAACATCACGTGGAGTGCAGCAGAAAAAACCCATATAAACCCTACAAAGAATAAAATTCATAGATCGCCCCTTGAACTCACTCTTTTTTTTAATTTGAGAGGACATTAGTTTTTCCATCTGGCATTGAGACATTACCTTATTACATTTCTGTATTCTACAAATAAAGATACGATCTGGAAAAAGCATGACATTAATAATTATTTTTTACAGCAATAAGTGTATTATCCTCCTCACCTTTCTATACACTCCTTCACAATAGCAAAATTTCCGTCTCCTATAGTCCTTCCAACTTTATATCGCTCTGCTATCGACGCTGGAACCTGGAAACCTTCCTCCAACACTTCTGAAAGAATCATTAGTACATTTTTATTGTTAGTGAAGGAAACACAGATGTTGCACATAACATGCATTTTAAGTCCACGGTTTAGAAGCCTGGAAACCATTCAGTCAGTGTCTCACTTACTGTACAGTGAAACCATGCTGTTGACATTGTATATACTCAACAGGTTTCATGCAGATACAATAAGGAAAAATAAGACTTCTGGGGGCTCAAACATACCACCATTTGAGTGTTATATAGTTGCCACTGCAATATGCCCCCAAGACATAACCGAAATTGTATTTTTTTAATTACGAAAAGGCCTCTGTGATCTGCACAAGCGCAGACCAGCCTCCAAAAAGGGCTGGAACTCCTTGACACAGCATGATTAAATATATGTACCAAAGAAGTCCAACACTCAAGCACTTATTTTATTACATCCTGTAAACTGAGACATCCATAGAACTCCTCATGTGCTAAGTGCTAGTTCTCCCCATCCCCCAATATCAAATATTTAGTTTTTAAACAAACGTTTTCAATAATACTACCTCGCATGCAACCTGGGTACCAGATGTTTAGGTAAAATTGCATTACACAGTGTCTAAGCATAGGAGAAGCTTGTAGTTTAATGTGTTTTAGTGCTCATTTCTGTACTATTATTTTTAAATGTATTTGAAATAGTGTTACAAATAACTAACATGCCTCTAAAAGCTCACTGTAAACTGCAGCTGATGCAAACTACTATATAAATATTGTAATGTAAAAAAATAGCCTCTCAGAATGTGATTTGTGTTCACACTCTTTGAGACAGTGCATTTAACTGTGTATTACTCTGTCCTTTGCTCCAGTTGAGTATGAAAAGTGAATACTAGGAATGCTAGGACACAAGGAGGCTGGGGTTTGTCTGAATTCACAGACAGCATGAAGAGTTATTCTCCGACAGGAGCACAGATACACACACACGTACATAGATGTGTATGTGAGCCAGCAGCGCTCGAGCAGACCTCGTCCCTTAGCCAACTTGCTCAAAGCCTTAGCAGAGAGTAGGACTATCCATTTCTGAGTCAAGACCCAGGACTGCAGTGTGTTCTTTAGTACTGTGGCAGATGAGACAAAAATACCGAAACAAGCCAGTCAGCACTGTGTTGCTTGCAGGAATAAAAGCTCAAGTATTCCGCAATAAAAATATCTCTGAAGAGTGATGTCCAGATCAACTCTGATCCAGAGTGAACCTAACTGGTTTGCCAAGGCTGAGGAGGTTCCTCACAGAAAATCATCCAGCCTGCAATGCTCCCACCTTCTCTGGCAGGAAGAATGACTCACTTCCTACACAGCTGCTGTTATCACTACACTGACTGCTTTGAAATGTCAGCTCCAAATGTTACCTTCTGCAGGGCCATCATTTTCATCCATAGAGCTGCAAACTTTGGTGGATGCTAATGAGGTAGAGGAGCCACTGTGTTGGGAGCTCTGGAAATGGAGACACAAATGAAAACAGATGATTTTTAAGAAGTACGAGTACCCACAGCACGTTCCTGCTGGACACATGTCCTGGAGAGGCTTCAGTGTTCCCTATGTAAAGTATGTATTTACTTTGCTGGATGGATATGTGGACGCTTGGGAAGAGTCCAATTTCATCCACTGAAATTACACTTTTGGTAACCTCACATTACTGGAGAGATCCTTGATCCACCAAGTGAAGCAATGTGCCTGCAAGAATACTTTGATGTATGCTCCAACAGCTTCTCCCTATTCCACACACATTCTGGCAGGGAAAACCGAGGAGCCATATGCCCTCTGCAGGCTGGAGACCGTGTTCTTAGAGACCTTATTTACTCAGCAGGCACTAGAGGATCTTAAGGCATTAGCTGGCTGTGTTATGGGCAGAATTCCTCAATTTTACAAACCTCCCTCTGTTGAAATCTTCCCCAGTTTTGTTCTAAAAGGGAGAAATCATTATGGCAGTGTATGGACAAAATAAAATGTCAGGGTGAATAATGCTTGCTGCTTCATAGGAGCATTTGACTGGGGGTGGCTCACTTGAGGCAGTGACTGTTCCTCTGCTCTGTTTCAAGTTCTTGTCCTGTCTGTACAGCTAATGGGGGAGGGTGGTGTCTCTGTGGCCCCTCAAAGGAAACTTGTAGCCACCCAACTTGGATGCCAGTAGTGTAGGAGACAGGATCTCACCAGGGAAGCCTTCCAAAGCACCTATCAACATCTATCAGACTTTAGGAAACCTGCTTCATCCTTCAACCTACCTACTTTAGGAAAACTGCTTCATCATGCATCTAGGTCGATGAAGCTACATAGACATTTGAGATGGACTGGATTTCACCCAAAACTTTTATCTTGTGGCGCAAAACAATTATACCTCATCTTCAGGATTTCCTATATTCAGAGGAAGCCAGAAGAAGCTACAAATATAATGGTGCCCCTTCAAACTTAAAGCCAAACTAAGCACTTCCTCCAGTTCTCCTATTACAACTTAAGTGAAAAATATTCAGAGGATTTGCAAAACTAAAACTTTCTTGGGTTCACATCATTCACATGCTGAAAGTGCTGCAGTATTTCATTATCTTCTTCAGTCTGTATAATACATAGATTGCAGGCTGTACTTCATGTAACTAACACTATCACTTCCTTATCAGTGTCTGCAAGGTATTTAGATGCCCACAATCATGGTGCAAATCCACTTTACAAATGAAATACAACTATTTTGGAATTATTTCTTTTGCCTGACACTGCAGAACACAGTTCCTGACTGGAGCAAGAGTAACTGAAGTTCCAGCAGTTTGGATATTTGCTGAGTACCAAGCCAGGGAAAACACAGTCAGAAGACTTAAAATCTGGCCAGTATGCTGAGTTCATTTGAACAGAATAACTTTTAATTTCTCCCACAACAAAGGTCAGATGACTTAGACAAAGTCTGAACTTGGCCTATTTTTTACTAAAGAATCCTGAGAGCTTGCACATCCCGTTTACCATGAGATTCTTTGCCCTTGTTTCCTTTAATCAACCCCAGCTCCCTCTTTTCATCCAGGCAAGTATTTCTTCTGAGCTTTGACCAGAATTGATGAATGCATTAATCAGTTTTTGGACTGTTTTTGCTGCCTCTTGACAACAGAAGTCAGCACTGAGTGATTTTATGCAGTTTTCTAAGATACTGCTGCTCTTGTTTCATGGTCAGGATGTGTTTATGTATGTTCCATTCCTGTACTAAACTCTGTGTGACATCCCAATAAAAACTTACCTCTGGTTCATTTTTGAACAAATGAGCAGATGTGGATCAAGGTAACGGGGAAATGCTAGGAGTTCTCATGCCTGGAGAAGTCAGTCACAAAGCCTATTTTTATACACATGTAATGAGAGAATTGTTTCCTTTACAGTCCTGCTTGTAAAATAAGCAGAAAAACATGTTCTCTCTACTCATTCTGCTGTGTTTGTTTGTTTTCCTAGAACAGACATCAATTTCATACTAATTTTCCCTCTCACACTATTTTCTGTAAGGAATTACAATTTAAACATGATTAATATTTATTACTTCTATGATCAGGAATGAATCATTACAACATTTAAGGAGTACAATCACAAAAAGGTTAGTGCTAGATTTTCAAAAGATTATCTAACAGCTACTTTTTTTTTTCGTTTTTTGCACTTTAAATAGTGAGATTACACTTTTAAGTAGATGTCAGGTCAAGGCTGCTGACTGCACAGCACTGCAGCTTCCTTTAGCATCCTGGTGGCTTCTTTACAGTCTTGCAGTCATTGCTCTCATCTGTGAGAACGGCAGATGTGAAAATCAAGACCTAACTCAGCGGCCACATCTTCTCAGAATGGGTGCCTAGAGACATTCAAATTTTTATTTGAGGACTGAATTTTTCAAGGACCTTAAACTAAGGCTTAGCTGAGAAATGCAATTGCTCAGTCCTTCCAAAACTAGGTATCTTCAAAGGCTCATTTAAACAAAGCATTTTAGCAAGTGCTCCAATTAAGTACAAATAATCTTAATGGTTTACACATGAGTGAAATTAAATTGACTTCTAAATATGTCTTGGGCAAATTCCTTAAATATGTATTTAACCTAGGTTTAGTCTAATAGACTGAGAAAAAAAGTGGCCCACAGAAAATTTAAAATTTTAAAGGAAAAAATTTACTTCATACTGACGTTTTAAGTGGCTCTACTTCTTTTCTTATTGGCACTGTTAAAGATGGGAAGGTTAAAATGTTATTTGTTAACAGAAGAACTGAAATAATGCATTAGTAGCATATAACATACCACTAGTCTGCCAACAAAGCATACAGCCCCTTTGGTGACATCAGCCTGCGAAGCACTGGCACGGAGGCAGAGGCAGAACTTGCTAGTGACAAGGAAGCAGTAGCTAGGAAGATGTGCTAAAAATACACACTGAGACTTATAAAACTTTAAGTAATTATTGAAAAATATATCAAAACATACTCTTCATTACCTTTGCTGAACCCCTCCTATTAAAAGAACAGATTGAAAATAAATCAGGAAGTGGACATATTTACCAAGTCCTTTTCACAATTAAAGAGATGTTACTGGATAAACGATAAACATGACTCAAATATTTTCATCTTTATTCGGCCCTCTCCAACAACACGCAGGCATTTATTTATTTATCTTTACTTGGGCTAGAAAGAGATTTCATTTATTTAGCCTTTAATTATCTGGCTGTTCTCACAAGCTGAGAGCCCTGCGGGTCCAGCAATCCTTGTGGGTCTCAGCGTTCCTTCCAGTTGGCTTGCCAATCGTGAGGCAGTCTGTCGTGCGCGCTGTTGCTCTCACAGATGTGGACCCCATCAGGGATCTTGCAGATGGGGAGGGGGAAAACAAACCCTTAGCAAGAGTATAATCTCTTCAACACACAGACTTTAATGTAATTAGCTGGTTTAATTGTAAGAGATGCTGAGGTGCTTGGAATGTCATCGCTTTCACACAGATTTAAAGGGGTCCAGTTGCACAGGTTGCCAGCACATGGCCAGTTTTATGGCACACCTTCATAAAAGCATAAAAAAATCAAGTCTTTGGTGTAAGGATTTCAGATCCTATTCGGGTTTATGTAACAGATGGCCAGCACACCACACACCTCACTGATGTGAATGGAAACATTAGCACTATAGAGTTTCAGCCATGTCTCACCTGGAGATTTATTTTGCAACTGTTTGGTAAATAGATTTATCTCAGTGGAAACTGTGCTAAATTCATGAAAAAAAAACCCAGCAAAATAAAAATTACTGTAATGTCTCCTCTCTCCTGATACTCACCTTTGTCCTAAATTAATCTTAAAATCCCGTTCCAACTAAACAGCAGGAATTATTCTTGTGGACTACTAGTGTCAGCAGTTATGAAAAGAGACTTAAACAAGTATGACTTCAAAGTTTGTTAGTGCAATTCAGATTCCTGAATCTCAAACCCCAAACACTGCATTCTATTTTCTAAACCTCTCAAAACCTTTCTTAGCACATGTGGAGTCTACAATGTCTCTCAACAATAGATTCCTTTGTATTTTTCCAGTACGAAGGAAGCATCTGGATGAAATGTGAGTAACAGAAAAGCACACAGGTGCAATGCTAAGTTTGGATCCTATGAAAAGCTCTACTCTTTTAGAAGCTGTCTTAATGAAGTGAGAATTAAAATTAGTAAACAAAGTGTAAATTCAGGAAGGAGGCTCAGGAGAAGGGAATTATTGATGTCTCTAAATTATGCCTCCTAAGATGTCCCCACTCCAAAGAACTCTACAGAATCTTTAAAAAAAAATACAAAAAGATAAGCATTTCAGTAATATGTGTAAGATGAAGTTCAACTCAGTAAGGAAAAAATAGCTTTAAAACCAAAACTAAGCATTTAGCCCCCACGCTCACCTCTTTTGGAGCCCATACTAGTGTTCAGTCTGGTTATAAAATAACCTTTGCAAGGTAGCTGTCATGGCTTCCTGACAGGCTCAGCTTCTTTGCATAAAGATGATCGTGAATAATGGTAAAATAAAGACAATTATCCAGTACAGGTATTAGCTTTTAAAGACTTTGAAGGAGACCAAAAAATTAAAAAATTCCCATAATACTTAACAGTGTTAAGCAAGAAATAAGTGAGTCAATGAACAGCAAAATGGTACATTACAAGAGAACAAAAGCAGAGGACAGCTGATTTAAAACAATAAAGTAATACGTTTTGATGTAACTTTGAAGAAGATAAACTGATTTTTTTTATTATTCAACTTAGACAGAAGTAAAGGGTTACACAGAAGTTCCCTCTCCCAACTATATCCAGTGAAAAATGTTTTTGATTTTCTTTTGTTTAACCTTACATTTTTATGCCCAGTCAGCTGAGACAGGGGAAAAAAAGCTTTCATGTAACCAGTACAGAGTTGGCAAAAAAATTACTTCATGAAGAAACATGAAATCCACAATCTTCATGCTCAAAGAATGGAAACTAATGGAGTTCAATTGTC